GGCGAAAGTTAGCAGGACGTGAACGGCAGCAGTTGCTTAAAATTGTCAGTTGGTCAAACCGGCAGCTGGCATATGTGATCCCTCTTAATCCCATGATTTGAGGGCTAGAACTCAGCAGAGCAACTGGTTGCTGTGCGAAGAGACTCTGAGAAAGGCGAACTTCTGTGTCGCAATGGATGCAGTATTAATTCAAGCACGCAAGCCGGCGCTCACTGTACTTCAGCACCACAGTACGACTCGGCCGCTTTGAAGCGTCATGACACAAGCCCCAGAGATATTCGGAAGTTGAAGACTGGACACTGACCGAAATGCAGTCACAGTATGTTTTCCTAATAGAAGACCCCTTTTCCTCAGGCTTGAAACATGATGAACATGAAACATATAGCATTCAGTCTGACTAGTCTCTGACTATGATATCAATCTCAGCAATAATGCTAACTGAGCTGTTCCCTACCCAACAACGACACGATCCTGCATCCATTCTCCAACGTCCCTCATCTGCCCAATCGTTATCCCTAATATTATACTATTGCAAAACTTCAGATGTGATTGGCACTGTCCTTCGGACCATCTCGCCGACACATACGGCTGTCTTGCAAAGCCCTGCAAGAGCCTTCTTGTATGATTCCAACCCATACGCCTCTTGAATGGGGGATAGCGCCACATAAACCTGCACTACCTCTTGATCGCACTGTCTGACATTTGTGACATTTACTGTAATAGCGCAGTATTGACTCTGAGAGATTGTACCGATAACTTTAACATCAGACAGTTCGAACTGAGTGTATGATAGACCAAACCCAAAGGGCCAGAGGGGCTTGATACAATGCTTCTCAAAGTAACAATAGCCTACTAGTATACCCTCGCCATACTCAGCGTAGTCATGTTCAATATCTCCTAGGAAATGTGGTTAGGAGCCGTGGTCTTCTCAATATCGTAGGAAAGTTACAGGGAGCATACCAGAGAAGTTATACGTCCCAAGGAGAACATCAGCGAGTGCATTTCCGTTCTCCTGGCCTTAGTACCAGGCTGGGATAATAGCGCTAACGTCATTGACCCAAGGCATAGCCACGGCACATGCCGACTGAACAATAACAGCCACATTAGACGACTCTGATGCAATTGCCTGGATCATTTGATTAGCACCCAATAGAAGAGATATTGAAGAACGGTCACCCCCCTCCCTTTCCTCATCAGCATTCAGGCCGACAACTATTAAGACGAGATCAGCCTTCTCCGCAACCTGGTTAGCGTTCCAGAGCATCGCCTTCTCATCATAAAATTGCAAAAGACCAATGCGGATGCCTAATACCTTGTCGAAAAGAGTATTATCGTACGCTTTAATTGAGGGCGGAACCACAATGCTGTCCACCCGTAAGTGGTATGATTGCCCCTTAACGAGAGACAAGTTGACCTGTGCCTCGCGACTAGCGCAACACATGAATGATCCAGATGTCTCGCTCCAATCCGTGTTGTCAATGATGAGTTGGTCGTCGATGTGAAGCTTTGCTTTTCCCGTATTTGTTACGCCCCAGATATGATGGCCAGCAACTTTCGGTTTGATGACGCCCGAAACTCAATAGCAAAAGATGGTTCTACGAAGACACTATGGTATGTCCCCATCACTCATCAGGTAGATATGAGAGTCTTTCCAGAATGATGTCGCGACGATGTGCCCCCTCGAAGCTATTCCCTGCGTAAAGGTCCATGCGTAGGCTGTCATACGCGGAGTCCAGTTTGACGATCTAGTTTCCAAGAGTCGGCGGTGTTCGGGAGACCGGCATTCCTTGCTCGAAACTGATACAGAGACTCTGATTTTATCCGAGAAGTTGAGCAGTAATGGCTTCATACGGGGTCGTGATATAGTAGGGGTTCACTGCTGCGCTTCCACTACCACCGGCTGTTAGCTGTTTTGCGTGGGGTCCAACGATTGCGACGGTATTGAGGTTGTGTGGTCGTATGGGGAGCAGGTCTTGGTTTTTGAGAAGGACAAGGCCGTCACAAGCCGCATCCCCAACGAGAGCTTGAAATACGCTGACATCGTCAGCTTCCAGCTCTTCTGTGTGCTGTTCGATGTGGCCGTTTTGTTGTGATATCCATTCTCCATTTCGTGCCGGGAGAGTTTCGATTTCTCAATCAATCTAAGCACGCGTTTCACACGGGGATTCAATGAGCTTTCCCATCAACCTGGCCTGAGAGAACCGCGGCCATCAGTAAATTACCCCTCCGAATGGCATGTCCTGGCATCTCTAGATCAGTTGTCGCCAGCAGGCTCTGAATTGTATCGTTCAAGCCCCCCAGTCACTCATGACGACTCCTTGAAAAGCCCACTCCTCCCAAAGAATAAGCTTTATAAGGTAAATGCTTGCGTCGACGTGCTCAACATTAATCTTCTGGTAGCTGGTCATGATTGTCCAAGGCCTAGCCTCAAATCCAATCTTGAAGGGTCGAAGATAGGCTTCGCGTAATGTGCGATGGTCAATCTTCTCATCGACGTTGTATCGTCGAGTTTCCATATCGTTTGCAGCATAATGTTTCATGCATGCACCAACCCTTTGGTTCTGAATACCCATAATCATCCGCTTAGCAAGCACCCCAGTCAAAAAGGGGTCTTCGCCATAATTCGCAAAGTTTCGGCCGCCTAGGGGCGACCTACTGAGGCTTATAGTTAGCGCAAGGAGGACTGCACAGTTTTTGAGATGTGCTTCTTTGCCCAAAATCACACCGGCCTGCTGAACCAAGTCTACATCGAAGGTCGCAGCCAGTAGAATCCGGCAAAGCGTGAAGGTCGTTCGGCGGCCGCCTATCCATGTCGACCCGCGTACGCCGGCAGGACCCTCCGTAGTCTTCAAGCTGGGAATGCCGACGCGGTCCATGTTAAATGTTTCCCATATATTCTTCGCCGACAGAAGAGCAATTTTCTCAGAGAGCGCGAGAGACTCTAGTCGTTCGTCAAGTGTGTCTCGCTCGAGGTCCATGGCTGAAAATCGTAGAATTCGAAATGAGATGTCGTCTTTGTTAAGGTAAGGGACTCAAACATTGTTGTAGAACGAATGGTTCCGAGTAGCAGCGGGTTGCCAGGAATAAGTGGCCCATAAAATCAGTTGCGGTCTGTTTAGCTCAGCACTTTCTACAAAGTAACTCAATTATAGTCCAGTGGTGATGTGGAGACACATGTTCGCGGTTGATTACGGGAAGCGGAGCATTTGGGCAAATCGGGGAACTCGGGGAACTCGGGGAAGTGAGGAAATCAAAGTCAACACAATTAGCAACGCTGGCAGGGTGGCGGCGGATTGCGAGCATGTGGATCCCTGCGACTGCTTCGGCCGTGTGGATAACCCAACCATTCCAAATCTAAGTATTCGCCATACTGTTTGCCTATTCTAACATTAAGGTGTGATGTTTGAAATGGGAAATAGATTCTGGTATCACAGCTACAGTTCATCTTGAGCCTTGGTCCTCAAGCGGTTCAGCGGACTGAGCTTAACAGGCATGGACCCCTATTCGCTTGCGTGAAAAGGGTTGATTAATCTAGCTACGAGCGCTGGGCGCACCTCATCACAAAGTGGTGTGGCCGACTCCCTAGGGTAAGGAAGGATTCGGGCCGAGTTTCGAGGAGTTTCGAGCCTCGGGCCCGGGCCTGGCCGACTCCCGTCTCGCATGGCCGACTCCCGTCTCGCATGGCCGACTCCCATCTCGCATCGCCCCACCGCTGGTCGCCCAGACGACTCATCGTGTCAGACGATCGCTGTTTAATAAGTGTGCTGATGACCCTTCGAATCCCTTGATTCTCGTACGAACGTAACAACCGAGCTTTGCTTACTTTCAACGGGATTATGCATTAACCCTCAAACTACGACGTGGTCATAAGGATGGAAAAGCTGACTGAGGTTCATGTCGTCAATAAAATTTATCAAAGACTGAAGCTCCCGACCCGGCCTTCCAAGCCCCGGTCCAGCCAGGTAGAGTATTTACCAAAGCCACGCAAGTAGGCTAGCTGCAGACGCTAGCTAAAGCACGCCGAGTGGAACGTACACGCCGATTTTGAAGTATTGAAGGCCGACATACCAGCCTGAGAGAACACTCACGACGGCCATCAACTCCCCCCCCCCCCCCGACGTTGGGAGGTCCATGTGTCTTAGCCCATCGATAATCGAGCAGAGCTACGATAGTCAGCCCCCAAGCGATACCAAAGAAGAGTCAAACAACAGATTCCATACCCAAAATAATGAGACTTCCATCAGTAAAATCCCAGCTGGTCCCGACAACTTCCCTCCCCGCTTAATAGCCGGGGAATGCTCAGGGATAGTCTTGATAGCGTTTGACATATTTGTTGCACCGACCCCGAAGTGTTTGGGGATAATCAGGATATTGATAGCGGTGGCTGCATAGAAGAGAGTAGACTGTACGGATGGCATTTTCATCTGATATGGCGTTCACGTACTCGCGTTCCCGGCCGTAGTAACAGAAATCGGTAGCTCGCCTGGTAGAATTTAAGAGACGTGGAACCGATGGTGCGCCACTGGCCGATTCAGTTCACGGACGAGTCTGGACGGTAAGGCAAGCGCAATCTGAGCAGAATTCTCAATCTAGACGGAGTGGTCGCCGGAACTAGGGTATTCGCGGGCATCGCAGCAGCCGGCGGTCTACGCCGACCTCCACACCCCTCTAGTCTTAAGAGTCCTATCTAGCTAAAGCCTTTTTTGATAATGAACCCCCCGTCTAGAGCAAGGATCTTGCCTATGAATCTCACGAGATGAGAAGATTGCTAAGGCTGCAAATTACGACAAGACACACAAAACAAGTGGGCTATCCTTCGAAATATAATTCAACAATAGAGGATCATCAACGATCGTGACCTCGAAAAGCCATCCAGCTATAAGATGAACACCTTGCCCACAACCACACAAGTCCTTTAGGCTAATCCCACAGTATCACCCTAGAAATCCACCACTCCGACCCAGACAACGTCTTTCATGCAGCTCAAGCCTTCATCTAAGATGTTGCCTCCCAACTCCAAAAGCACCGTTCGCGTCACACATATCACAACAGCCACAGTCATCTTGGAGATCGACGGCGTGAGTTTCATCACGGACCCGGTAGTCGATGATGCTCCAACTGAATACGAAATAACACACCTCACGCCGCCGGGAACCCCACGATTGTTTGCAAAGTTCGAGACTGGACCGGCTCTTGGGCTCCATCAGCTTCCCATTATTGACGCCGTTCTTCTGAGCCACGAGGACCACACTGATAACCTGGACGACGAAGGGCGCAAGCTTCTCGACGGTCGCCGGGTCACCACCATCCCCGACGGTGTGAATCGTCTCGCCCCGCGGCCAGGGGTTGTCCCCATCAAGCCATGGGAAATGTTGACTTTCCAATTCCAAGGAGTTGAGTGGAAGATCACCGGAACGCCATGAACTCATCTCCCTGGTGGGGAAGTCGCCGGTTTTGTTCTGCAGACCGAGAAATTTGGTCTGAGTTCGGAGGGTCTGCCCAACGCGATTTACCTTACTGACGACACCGTCCCGACGCCGAAGCTATTGGAAATTCGGCAGCGGTTTCACGCCGCGATCGCTGCGATGAATCCTGGAGAAGCGCGGATGCCCCCGCCAGGATATCAAACACCACCTCAGATCACGACGAGCGGTCAGGATGCTGCGAAGCTTACGCGCGAGCTTAGTACAGACACGACGGTTGTCGTCCACCCCGAGTCACGGCACCATTCCACGCAGGGAGTAGAGGAGCTCCGGGCGGTATTTGAGGCTGAGGGAATTGCAGACCGGATCTGCTGGGATACCCCCGGCGAGAAGAAGATCATCGCCTGAGATCAAGAAGATCTTGAATACTCGGCGTTGGATCGTAGTCAGACCAACGTTTGTTTTATAGGATTAGGTCGTTTCACAACTCAGACGTGTACTTGCTAGTTTTAGAAGTCTCCCCGAGTAATGCGCCGAGGTCCTTAACACGTCGAAGCTGCTTAAATGATGTCTAGTCCTAAAGGTCTTTACCCAAAGCACTAGGGATTACGCAGTCCTCCCACTATTCACGAGCTGAATCAGTCGCCAACTTCCCGTTGGATAAATCATTCCAATGTGTTGCGTGTTATCAGGCATTATCGCTGGTGGAACATGTCCACATCCAAATCTAGCTCTTCCAAGACCCGGTAGTCCAGCCCCTGGAATGACCAGGCCGTGCTTCCGGGCTGGGTGTCGCTTCCAGCTTCGTCCCAAGCAGCTACAATGACCCCGAGGACTCCTGTTACGCTAGAATCTCCATGCGATTGATGGCCATGAATATCGTTCGTCTGGTCCGAGAAAACGGACGCGCTACAGTATTGGTTGTCCTCTAAAAATCGGTTCCCTTGGCCATCTTTGGGTAACAGGTCAGGATCTTCGGGCGGAAAGCTTAGTCTCGATATTTCGTTGCAGAGGAAACATTCATTGGTAGACTTGGACCTGAAGGGCGCCATTGAGGAACCGTTAGCTCCGTTCAGTTCTCATAGTATGGTCGAAAATATAGTTGACATAGCGACGGCATGTTGAAGATACCTACTGCGGTAGTACTCGATGGGTCGCGTCGCTGGAGGATCGCTGACTGGCCGGGTTTCTTCGTCGTCGATCTTGTTCAAAGTTGAACAGTAGAGGTTGATGTACGTCTCGTGCCACCATATATGGAGCATAACAAATGTGGTGCGCGACGGGAGATGAATGCGGCGAGAGAGATTCCGCCGATTCATCACGTAGTTCTCCAGTAGCAGGCGGTGAAAGCTTTCAAGCTCCTGCTCGAAATCCCGAATGGTATTCTCCAGTTGCACCATTGTGGATGTCTGCGCTGGAGATTGAATTGAATGCGTCCACCTGCGAAAATGTAAATCAAGTCCAATCCATGGCCACAGCCTTTTGGAGATATCTGTTCAGCTCACTCTGTAACCCTGCGGCGGATGTCATGAATCCGAACTAGGTACGTGGCTAACCCATAGCCATCTTTGCCGGGGTCCTGAGTCTGCTGACGCAGAGAACCCACGTTAACGGGGACATTGATGTTGAAGCTGCGCTCATTACATGGCAGCTGTAGATGAATACTTCCGTTGCGGCAAAAGGACAAACTGGGCCAGTCATCGCAGCTCGTTGTCTCCATCATCCATAATTCCCACATTATGCGTCTTCTCCATTCCTGGCCTTCGAACGAGATATCTTTACCTTCATGGTTCAAACGCATCACGTAGGCCATTCGGATCGCAAAGGCCAACACTGTCATTAGCCTTGAAAACCTGCGTGAGTCCATGGTCAAATGCGATGAGTGCGAGTGCCGCGATATCCGTTCTAAATAGGTGCGGGCTTTGTAAAATCTGTGTTCCAGCGGCCTCAAGCCATTTTAGACCGTCGCCAGCAGCAGCAACAGATAGTAGCACTCAAGCGGTAAATCGAGACGCAACACCACAAATCGCGAGTAGCAGCTTGCTGTTGAGCGTACTATCCAGGAAGGTTTGCATCAGTGTGCCACGGTGAAGGAAACACAGCCCTGGTATCGGGTACACATATTCGAAAAAGGCCTCGACACAAACCCACGACAGTGTCTTTCGGGATGTCAGCACTGCTAATGAGAATATTAGAATTGAACTAAACGGTATACACGAGCATCAGGCGAAGGGGTTCCAAGTACCTCGGTGAACACAGTCGATGTTCTGTGTTCGGGTCTGCTACAGTGCTAGTGAATGCCGGAGAATGAGAAATGGAGCCGGCAGGAGACACTGACAGCCGGGCTGAAAATGTCACATCTTCAATCTCCGCCGGGGGCCCGCGACGTCCCTCTGGCGCCCAGGCCCGGCGACTCTGTGGATAGCGGCATTCAATCCCATTCATCCGACAACGGTCACAAGGGTGGGTGCCGCCTTGACATTTTGCCTTCTTCTCGTGACATGCGACGCAAGCCTGGCTGCTCGCAAGCGGTCTAACTGATACTGACTGGTGGCTGGCCGGGTGGCAGAAGAGGATGATGACGACGAGAGCAAGGATTAGAAACCCAGACGACGACAGTTATCGCAGCCGCCAGGGGTGCTACCGCAGCGTACCCGACAAAGATAAGATCTTCAGCCCTGAACGGACACCAACAACGTCCGCCCACCGACCCTCCTATTTCGGCATTGCGAGCATATCTCGCTAAGCCGGCGGGAGCGGCCAGGATTCGGCGCGTCCACCATGCAGGTTACTCCGCCAAGACAGTCGCCCGTGAAAGCGGATTTGTGGATTCCGCGAAGACAAATGGAGAAGCGGGTCGTTGAGCAAAAGAAACACGCAGAATTGGACATGGACCGCCTCGCTTCACAGGCACTCGCGGGATCTGCGCCCGTTCTTCATTGCCCCCCGAGAGCCGCTCCGCCAAGGATGACCCCCGCTCCGACCACCACTTGAGAAACATCAGAGTTGTCTACCCATTAGGCAACTTTTCCCGATTGCCTGCAAGGGGGGGGCAAAGGTCTGACCCCACGAGCATTAACCGGGCCATGAGCTCCAGAACCATCCAGTCGGTCCTGACCCGGCATCAGTCCTGAATGAAGTATTGTGAACCTTTACGGCCACTATACCGAATTATCCAGCGTTAAAACACTTCAATCGTACCCCGCCGCTAGCTTCCCCGACCATCGCTACGCCACCCCCCAACCACGGCTTCGATACCAATGGCTACACAACAACCCAGGCCACGGAGCCATTCACACGGCAATTAGCAGACTCTCCCCAGAAACGGGAGAATACGAGCTCGATCCTGTATGGCGTCACACGCCAAACAGCTTGAACTACACCGGCTTTGCTTTTGGTCCGTTGCCCATCTCACTCGACCAGCGAACGCATATCCCCACATCCGTCAGCAGACCACCACCGATACCTCGCCTTAGGTGTTGTTCTTGGTAGTATGGTTAGTTCCAGATTTGGCCGGAGATGGTGCATACTCCCAAAAAGCGCCCATGCCATTGTGTGTGCCGTAATCGCAGTCACCCCGTCTGGTCAAGAACAAAACATGGTTGCCCGTGTTTTGAACTGTGAGTACAAATCACCCTGCGCCAGCGTCCCAATTCAAACTTACCAATCTATGCTTCGCACAGACAGCTATGTTGGGATGGAGCTGGCCGTCATCCCAGCGTATCAGTCAGAGGTCATGCCGACCGAGATTCAAGGGTTCGCCGCAGGATCTTACCAATTTAGCATGATGGTAGGAAACCCTCCTCAAATCCCAACTCAGAGGGATTCACCAGAGCTGAGACTATTCCGGCCGGGGAACTCATCATGAATTGCATGTGCAGGGTAACTAGCATGCTGCCGACAAACAACGCCCGGAGAATCCCCCCCAGCCTGTTTTCTATCGTACCCAGCATCGTTACGGGTCTGATCTGGTTTATTCCCGAGGTAACTTGACAATTCCTGAGCTCAACCTTGATCAAACGAACCACCCCCCTCGCGAAGTCGCCTCGATGGCTTCCCACCAAGGACCGAACAGAGCAAGCGCGAACATCTCCCATACAATTCCGTACTGGAGTTTTAACCGCAAGCGAAATCGATGACGATTTTTCAACCCTCCAGGCCGCCATAGCCTTAGACCCAGGGCAAAGCTCATACTGGGAGATCCCCCAAGGTGTGAATCGAACGCGAACCGCCATCATCGCGGCCACGAATTTCTTTCAAAAGGCCAGCGGTCAATCCTTCGTATCTTTGTACGGCGCCGTAGTTGTTCGCAGTATTGGAAGTGTTAACCCATTCACCATGACGGTAATCAATGCGTCTGTCAATCTGTTCATATGCGGAGTACCCCCGGTTCTTAACGACAGAATCGCGAGACGGCAATACAAAGTCTAAGGCTCATGCTCAACGACGAGAATATCACGCTGACCATACCACAGTCCTCCATCGACAGCAGGAGCCCCGCGGCAAGTGGCTGCAGTCATGGCTATGGGCGGGCTTGGGACCATTTCCAACCCCTCAATGCCCGTGAATAGAGCGACTGTTGCCATGCTTCCCTTACTCACCGGTGGTTATTGCCTTGGTTGGGCACCGTTAGTCTATGTTTTAACCCCAGAAATTGCGGCTCCGCGGCTCCGACATCCTTCCCAGAGGACTGAGTCTGTGGTAAACGTCGTCACAAGGTAACCAACACGGGAATCGCCCAAAGACACGTGTGAGCTTCTTTACTTACTTCTATTTACCAGCCCTGATATCAACTCCCCGATCCCAAACTCTATGCTGCATTACAAGGCAATGCCGGGTTTACCCCCAGCCCGATTGCAGCTTGTTCCTTACTTTTCACCTGGCTGTTTGTACCTGAGTGGTTTGTACCTGAGTGCAAAGGAAAGTCCCCAGAGCAGGTAGACGCTACGTTTAACGAGGGTATTCCAACCCGCAAGTTCGGGCACTACAAACCTGATGAA